GATTAGATAAAGAGGAGCAGTTAGCTTTAATAGCCACCAGTGCGTTTGTGCACAAATAGCCGGTGGTTACTGTGTATAGAGCAGCTAGCTAAATGCTTTACATAACATAATCTACCATGCGCACATAATGTTGTGTGGCAGAAGTCGGTGTGCTCACGGGATGCTCTCCAGATGGTGAGAGAAGGGAAGAGGCAGGAGGAGTCGTCAGCACACTGGAAAAGAGGAGGTCATCCTAGTGGGACACTGATGAGGCTTCAGCAAAGAGTACACAAAACCGTGGAAGATTGGTTGGACTGTTATCGTGTGGCTGTCGGTACTTACACGCTCACAGCTTCCAAACATAGCCTCTCTAGCTTCTCTGACATTCACCCTGTTCTTCCCACATGTGTTAAAACTGCAACAGCTGGTTGTAACATCAAGAAAACCTGACCTGGTCGGAGCTGCTTGGAATAGTTCAATGAAGCAAAAAGTTACAGGATCACTTCATCCTGCAAACTCGACATTATTGAATAGTTCCATGAGGATCTTGTTCACGGTCATCTGTGCAACTCTGTATCTGTGTGCATTTCTGAGCGACCTCTTCCTCTCCTTCAGGTATCAAGTGTCCTGGCTCAAAGCGGATGCCAGATGCCCCACCGAGGACCAGGCCGAGAAAAGAGGCACAGTCAGCTGCTCTGCCCTCTGTGAAGCTACCTGAACGAGTAAATGCTAACCCTGTCCAGCCGGAGGATAGCAGAGATGAGTTTCGGGAGCTTCACGGACACCTGTCGCCATCAGCCGAAAGAGCGCCGGACTTTCCCGTTGTGCTGCCTAGGTGCACGCTAAAGCCATTTCCACACACAAACTCCGAACAATGTTATGTTAGGAGGATCAGGTCAGGACATTTTCTGACATTTTCAGGAGATTTTGCTCTTCAGTCGATTTCCAAAACTGCTAGAAACAGGACACATGGCACCCGATGGTGCTCTGTAAATTCACTGGGCAAATACCTTCGCTACTCTCACAGAGATGAAATTAAACATTACACAGTCTTCACCCTGATGATGTAGCAGTTTGAAAAACATTTAATGAGTTGGACATTTTCCTCCTGACATACAGCTCCACTGGGCGACATTTAGAAGGGCTCAGTGCTCCAGTGGATGTGTGAAAATGATGTGACATACAGCGGTATCTGGATGTTTACTCTACTCTGGATAACTTAACCAAGTAAACACACTAAAGAGAATTTATATATATTATTTATTTATCCAGGTAAAAGTCTCATTGAGATTTTAAAATATGTATTTTTAATGATGGACTTAGCCGAGAGGCCAGCGGGGACAAAAATGACTCCGCTGTTTTACAGTGTATGGATTACCTGCTCAACCAGCGAGTTAGAACGGCACCTGCTTTAGTTATTCTTGAGCTGCAGTAACAGAAACACATTGCGGAGCAGTTTCAGTGCTTCACTTGTGCTACACCTGCACTAGATCTTTGCTGCATTATTGAAAGGCACACTAAAGCACAGTTTAACTTTTTTTGACCTGTTTGTTGTCAGGACACCTAAAAAGCCTTTAAAGAAGGAACGTGGATTCACGCAGCTAGGACCTCTTCGGATTTACGGGAGCATCAAACCAGAGTAAGACCAGACGCTCTAGTTTGATGAAAAAAGTCAATTGCTACATGTTTTACTAGCCTTATAAAACATCAGATTCCCTGTCTCCCAGGTCAGTTTTTCTTCCAAATAATCCCGAATTGCAGATGTCCGCCGTCACCCACCTTCCTGCGGTGGCACCGTTCCCCCCCTCTGTCCCCCTCACAGTGTGCCCGGATCTACTCAGAGCGGCACTGCTGGGGGAAGGGCAGCGGAGGAGCTGCTGCTGCAGCACTAAACTAATGCCGGTAGTGACAGACCTGGAGTATGATGCTCTCATTATGGGCCAGCCTCCACAGAGTCAACAGATCCTTGTTGTGTGTGTGACTTGTCCACGTCAGCCTGTCGACACGCACGCAACGCCCGGCCAGGACTCGCTGGAGTATCTTTACAGGAGGAAGAACAAACACAGAACATCGCCTTGCACTCAGGTGTGAATCTAGGCAAAATAAGAGTTATGTTAGTGATACTGAGGCACATTTTCAAGGATAAAAACAGTGTTGCTTAGAGCCAGTCGGATTCAGTAACAGGTTGATTTTTTTCCCTTTAAATCCAGTGTCAGATGGACTCTTTTCGTGTGGTGAGGTATGAAATAGAAATGGAGAATCCCTGCTACGAATCCAAGAACATCCTGCTGCGCCAGCGACACAGAGCTGCTCCCGGCACGGTCCTGGTCAGTAAACCTACTGCAGACTTGTCCAAAAGCTGCATGCTATGCAAAGTGCACGCCTTCATGGTCCCCACTGGGTGGCAGCAACAAGCACCGCTCCACTACTTACCCTGATGTCCAAACATTCGTGTAAAAGTATTAAAAGTACTAAAAGTAGGAAATACAAAAGGGAGCTCTAATGACAACTGCTTCAGTGACGTTTGCTAACGTCCTTCACTCTGTAAATCAAACATAAAGGTCTGAGTTATAGTCACATGACACACCGTCACCACTTAAATAATGTAGATCAGCAGGCCCTACTCAGAAACTCTGAAAGCACATACATACAAATAACAGGATGTGGTGTCACATCAACGCCAATCTGTGTTGAAATCTAAAGCTTAAAAATAACCTCATGATGTATGACCTTTGTTGTGAAATGTTTTTGTAAACCACTTCTCTGCAGAAAACATTTTTACATGTGGGGAGGGTAAAAATAACTGCAGTGGGGGACTGCAGAGGCGTTTTCTTCCACTTTCAGACGTGTAAAGTACTTTTTATATGCTCATGTGATAGATGTATATCAGAGGGAAGCTACTGTTCATGGGCTACATATGCAGTGATCACAGCTTATCAGCCAGGGTCCTTGAAAAGCAAATCTCCAGAAGCAGAAGAGACTACAGATTAGGTCTGATTCTCCCGTCAGACTACAAGTTCAGGTATTACTCCACAATCCCCTCTGATTTGATGTCCTGTAAGCCAATGAATCAAACCGGTTACTGCATACTGGAACACATCACCACAGAACCACAAATAACAGAAGTTGGCTTTCTAAAGCTGAACACTTTACTGGTGTTCTTCCAATCTTTGCACACAGTGATTCTGTGAACGCTCCTGCGGCTGCAGACACAGCACTAACCCGAGGCGACGACATCACACCGAGTCCTTCACAGAAAAGGGAAACGACAAAGGCAATGTAAAATTGTCATCAACATTTACGTGAAATTCGGACGGATTTCTCTGTGGAATAAAAAAATGAAACTGAAACATAACATGACGCTTGAGTCCTTATTTATCTTATCAATTAAGTCTTCACTTTCACTTCTTTAAGATATGTAACTCCTCTGCAGGGACGGGAATCACACTGCATCATTCCAGCAACAGACCAAAACGCCCTCCCTTCCCTTGTCTTGTCACACACTCTATATTCCTCCATGAAAACATGGATCAGGGGCAAGAGATCTGCCACAAGTTCCTGGATTCAGTGAGTTTCGACTTGGCCAAATAAACATGGCAAAAAGCAACAACTAATCCATTATTTATATTCAATCCTTCATATTATTCACCAAGTCAAGCTGTCAGTCATCTGACTTTCTTTGTAACTTCCTGTAAAAAACAAACAAAACTAAATGCAGAATCAACCTGCTGACGCAAGGAAGGAACTGATGGGAAATATATATATATTTTTCAAGTATTTCTTCCTCTGCGTAAAATATGTGTTACAAAGGAGCTGCTGGCTTCCTGGCATAGTTTTGGCTTCTTAGTCATACCATTAATAATAGAAAAGATGATGTAGGAGGAAAAATATGCGTGCATGGCACCTCGAAACATTTCCCGAGCAGTCATGAGCCAGCATTAAATCTTACTACAAGTCAGTGTTTATTGTTTCCGTGTGGAGAACAGATTTTACAGTGTGACAACTCATAATAATGCCAATTTGTGGAAGATTTGGATGCAAAGATTGACTCTGGCCGTCTGTGGCTCCTGGGGGGCCTCTAGTGGATCGTCCTCGGAAACAAAAAGGAAGCTCGCGGCTATTGGCTGGCTACATATCGCAGAACATCAACAGCCGGTGCGCCTCCAGAGAGAAGAACTTGTTTGCGGCGGAATCACGTGTGCCTCTCGGGTTAAAATCAAAGAAAATGTCGATCATTTGACACATTATGAATCGAAACTTTATCCGGATATGAAGGACTTTTGTCTTCACTGATTTATTTATTTATTTTTAATATAAGGACCGGAAAACAATAAAGAAAGAAAAACAGAAGCGAAGTGAGTGGAGCGATGATGAACTCAGGTAAGTTCCCCGTTCGATGACTTTTCTGGTTTATACGTGAACACGGTGAGCTTATAATGGCTAATCGGGAAATAAATGCTCAGAGAAGATGTACTTCTATACTGTAGTTCAGCATGTTTTCTATTCCTACACAGTATAAATCTCACCTGTTTAGGTTTAGCCTGCTTGGTATTCATTTAAACAGCATAGCTCTAAATGAAGTTAGATTTGATTATCGCGAGTTTTGTATTGATTTTGTTCGCAGTCAGCAGTTCAAACTGTGTCTTGTTGAACAGGGAAATATTTGAAAACAACGCCTTGAAAACCTGCTTGTCAACAGGGTTGCATTTTACTGCTTCTCCCAGTCTTCATCTCCCACCTGCTAATCCCCCACTTTTGCGTGTTGACGCGAGCTATTAGTTGGAGTAATGTGCTGCTACATAGAGGGGCAAACATAAATCATGTGATATTTGAACCCTTGGAGAGGTTGTTTATGATGTATACCGAGGTTAGGATCAGCAGTGAAAGAAAACACAGTAAGTGTTGTAACTTTCGTGGGGTTTTACATTACAGTCATTTAGATGTGGTTTTCCCTGAGAGTCAGAGGAAATAACTTTACCTCAAGTCCCAACTTCATATATTTCATTTCTCTATTCCCAGGCATGCATAAGCCACCTGTGGCCCCTAAACCAAAGCTGCCTTACTACGAAAGTCCACGGCAATCTCCTTTTATCCCCAGAAAAGGTGGCCTCTCGCAACCATCTCCTGGCACGCAGATGAAGGTGAAACCGGCGCTAGCCCCCAAACCCTGCCCCTCTAAATTCAACGCTCCCGTGGAAGAGAGGCAACCTGTCTGGACGAGCCCACGTCAGACATCTGCGTCGGATACCCCCCAGACTGTAGGTCGTCTTGCTTCCCAAAATGGACTGCAGCACGAGAGCAAAAGGCCTGACTGGGATTACGTTGTTCCTATTTGTCTGTGCAGCAGTGACAACTGCACGTGCGTCAATTCTCAATGCACCCGCAATCATAGCAGAGAGAAAATAAACAATGAATACTTCAGAACAACGAATGCCTCTCCCACCCATACTCACTATCAGTCTGTTCAAGACGAACATGCTATTTACCAAAATGTCACTGTAAATACTAATATTTCCCGTCCTAAGGTGGCTTTTCGGCCAACTTCTCCTCACAGAACGCGGGGTGATGAGGCAAATGATGGAATTCTTGACGGTGTACCTGGACAAGTACCAGAGGAAGATGCTCTCAGTGTGCCACGACCCAAACTAATCCCAACTCCCCGTAGGAAGCCCAGTCCTATCCCTGTACCACAGAAACCCAGGCAAGCTGTTCAGGACCATAAGGAAAAGGTGGAGAAGGGGAAGGAAGAGTCTGTAAGCCAAGATGGCAGAGAAATAAACACCAAAAATGTGGCGGTGTCACCAGACAGGAAGGGCACATCATCACTGTCTGTCAGTGCACCTGAAAGTGAAAAGAAACTGCCAGCTTTTCCGTCAGTGAAAACTTGTCCCCCTCCAGCTGCTCCCCCCAAGAAAAAACCTTTTCTGTCTGAGCTCGAAAAAGTACTGAGCTCGGCTCCTCAGGCAATTCCAAAGGACGTGAAAGGGGAACATCTCGATTGGGACCGTGGCACTTATGAGATGGATTTCTCCGCTAAAAAGGATAATAAAAAGATTCAGAGGAAAGCAAAGGGTGATGAGGAGGAAGCTTGTGGCATTTTGCATAGCCAGCCGGCCCTCAGCCAGCCTGTTGCCACAGCGGAGAAAACTGGGATGGGTAAAGTACCTCCAAAGAAGCCCCAGAGAAAGAAGCTGCTGAATCAGAATAAGGGATCCTCTGAGGAGAGAGCAGCAAGGGAGTTTGAAGGACACGGGAAAAAGAAGGAGCTGCCTCTGCCTTCCACTGACATATCAAGCGGTAACCATCCAGCAGCTGAAGTTAATAGGCATTCTCGCTCCAGTGTGAGCAAAGCCAAGTCCTTCTCCGGCGCTGACATCATTCGCTCTAAAAAAGTACAGAAGACAATTTCTTTCCGGAAACAGCCCTTGAAATTATCAAAGAGTAGGTTACCCAGGCAGACTGAAAAAGAAGACCAGTTCCCAGACTACACTCCCGATGATAATGAACTAAGTGTTGACAACGACGAAGACCTATGGCAGAACTATCCCGAACGTAAATTCTCCGCTCCATTTACTGAGTTCGAGCAAAATGTGGACGGAGAAAATGAAGGAGAAGTTGTCCCATTTGAGGACAGCCCTGTGTATGAGGAGATATTAGACTACGCCAATGTGGAAAATTCAGAGCCATATCCTCAGGACCCCTACTCACAGCCTAAACCATGGCAGAGCTCAGTTTACACTGACCCACAGGGCTTATACTTACACCCTGACTCCTCGGAGAGCTCGGTGTATGATAACGAGGGCATTTATGAGGAGCAGGATCCATATATGTCCCTGGAGAAGGACCACCAACAGACACCAGCACTCTGTGACAGGTAGACCTGATGTACTCGACTACCTCTAAACCTGATTTATTTTTAACAACATGTTCTTCATTGTGTCCTGAAATTTCTTTTAAACAACCATTCATCTGCAAAATATGTTTCTGATGACAGAGGGCGAAAAGGAAGAGCGCAGAGGGCCTTCGCATTGTTTGTTTTTCTAATTCCTGTCAGGGTAGTTTGACAGGTATGGTGTGCTTGCATAGCCTTGACACACTGACTTAAACTACACAAATCTAAAGTATAAACATGTTGTTATTATTACAGGCAGAGACAATCTTTAGCCTAGAAGGGAAGAATACATACTAGATCAATGCAATCCACATTTCTGTGGTTTAAGAAGCGCTTAGTGTCTTTGTGTTTGCAGCTCTGCGGTTATCTGGTGTTAGGAAGATGCTAAAACTACAGCTGTTTCTCTTCTTAAAGGCTCAGTTCAATAGAGTGGAGGTGATAGAATTAAAGATCTGCTGCTTAAAGAGGAAACCTTTCATCAGAACTCAATATAAGACTTTATTTTTCATTTTACAATGATTATCTATTATCAGTCCATTATCAGGGACTACAACATCTAGTCCTTTTACTGAATAGTTAGATTTGTTTGTTTTCAAACCAAAAACCTACAATCCCAACTATAACTACCTAATTCTAAAAAGTATATATGTTTATAAAACCGTTAGTGATGTATGCATTAGGGGAACAAAAGGAGTTTCTGGGCTTTGTTCACAAATGTGTGGGTGGCGACGGGCTTATGCTTCTCACAAAATTCCCATCAGATTCATGAACCAGTTTTGTTTTGTAGTGACTTAGAATAATCTGCAATCTGCATGCCATGATCAACACTAAGATGTAATGAAGAAAGTGATGATGGTGATGCATTAAGTTAGTACTAAATAAATATGCTAATAAATAAGGGGTGAAAAAATGGAAACAGTAGTGTCAGAGGAAGCAGCCACAAAAACAGCAACACCTTTCAAAACTATTTCAGATAATAGAGCTGATGATTAGTATTTTCCTGGAGATAGTAACTATGGTTTAAAAATCAGTCAAACAATAAAAATAGAAAAGACTTTGCATGAACAGACCAGAACAAAATGAAGGAAGGAGCGTGCAATCTATCAGCCCAAGATAAAAAAAAAAAAAAAAGGCGCTACACTTACTGGAAAAACAAAACAAAAAACATCCTCCAGCATACGCGCGATATTGCCAACCATCATCTTATCATTCATTGATAAGAAGTACCTGACCAGGATAAGATATACTTAAATAATCATAGTAGCTGGAACATTTGTTCCAAATGTGTCATGTGTGAAGGACGAGTTTTGTTTGGTCTTTGTATTGGTTTGTTAAACTACTATATGTTGAGTCACTGTCTACTCTTGCTCCCATTTTCTTAACATTTAATTTAATTTTTGTCCTTTAATTCTATTAGTGTTTTGTTTTTTATTTTGGAAAACTGTAAATAATGGCTAATGAAAGTGTTACCGTGGCACGGTGTTGTGCTGGACAGCACTGTCGTCTCATAAAAAGAAGCTCCTGGGTTTGATCCACGGGCTGGCCGCTCTTTCTGTGTGGAGTTTTCATTTCCTCTCCAGGTACTCCACCTTCCTGCCAGAGTCCAAAGATGTGATCTTAGGCTATTTAGTGATTCTAAACTCGCCATAGATGTGAATGTGTGTTCTTGCAATATTTTAGCGACTTGTCCAAACAATTGCCGTCTCCCCTCCACCTTCAATCCCAAATTGAATTAGTGGAAAATGGATGGGTGAAATATTTTTGATCATCAACATTATTAGTGGTAGTTGTAGTAAAGTTTTAAGATGTGCTTTCTAAGACCTCCAGGCCTTTATTATTTGTTCCTGAACATGTTCTAACTTTGTTTGCAGATTATGAACAAATTCAGCTGAGAAAATGTCACAGATTTGTGCATTAAATCCGTTTATGTACAGATTTGTGTTTGCACTGTTAGATGTTGCGCCGTTTCTGCAGATCTACATACATTCATCATAAGAAGCAGATCAGTGCTAAATAGAAACGTTTTTACTTTTTTGCACCTTTGTTGAACTGACCCTTTTTTTTCTCTTTTCTGTTTTTTTAAAAAAAATGTTTCTGAGTTTGCGTCTTCATTGGCTCCAGTTTTTAGTTTATTATTTTTTCCTGTGTGTATATTCCCTGAAGTAATCTTTGTAGTAATCCTGTTAGTAGGCAAAGAATTTCACATATCTGGTTTTGAATGAGCAGTTTTGCAGAAGTCAGCTGGATAACAGGATTACAGTTTGTGTAACTGTACACGCTGCCTCCAACAGCTTAGCATGTCGCAGCGCTTTGGTTCAAACACTCACATGTTAGAAACACGTTGGCTCATAGCAGAGACGGCTCACTGCGAAGTACTACAGCTGTTGTAAAGGGGGCACAGACCCTTAGCTTTGTCTGGTTTCTTTCTTTGAAAGTTTTGTTCAGGGAGGTGCCTTCTGAGAATCCTCGGGGAATTGTGGCATTTTAGACATGCGGCGCATCTTTGGCACAATTTCCTGTTAGCTGTTCATGTGAAGTCCTGTTAAAACTGCTGACAATGACGATGCCTTATTTCTGAGTTCTGTGAGCAGATGTAAAAAGATGCAGTAGGAGTAGGCTTGTGATTGTATTGATAATTAGATTGAACATTTAAAGGTGTCAAGTCCTCCCTTTCCTGTGTGCATTTCTATGACTTTTAATAATAAATGCTCCCGTATAAGAAATTCTTGGGATTAAATGCTGAGGAGTTTTTTTTTTTTTTAATATCAGAAATCTTGCTCATTCTTCTGAAATTCCCTTCCTCTCGCTCGTGTGCCATGTGTATTTTAAAGGTGTGTCAGCGCCTTTCAAATGCAGAATGAATGCCTTCAGGTAGTTCTGTGTCAAGACTACCTGCCCTGTTTGTGTTTGTCGGTCCCTGTTTTGCTCTTTGACTAACACGTGTTTCTGACTTTTTTTTAAAAATTTTTTTTACAGAAGCTCCTTTGAAAAAGACGTTGTTCTTGAGGTGCCGTTTGATGATGACTTTATCCAGACCACCTCAGAAGACGAAGGCGAGAATGACAGCAGCTCTGACTCAAGTAAAGGTGACCCTGAGCAGCCAGAAGAGAAAACGGTGAGGAGCAGATGCTGTTAGATCCTGACAGGGTTTGCTCATTGCAGGAATTTCAAGGATGCAGGCAACTTAGTCCTGCAGGGGAGAACACGCCTTCCTTTAATAAGAAAAGAAAAAAAAACAAAAAAAACATTTATAGCATCATCCTCATGCTGTTTCTAATAGATTAACATGTTATTATTGCATCTTGTACGTGTGCTACATTTACTGTACTGTTTTATTCAAACTGTACTGTTTTTATTGATTGTCTTCATCAGACGGCGAGTGAAAAGAAGAAAAACAAGATATTCAACATTGCACAAGAAATTATGACCTCTGAGAGTGTGTGAGTGTCCTTTTTTCCCCTCGTTTACATTTCTTGAACTCCACGTGTGCACATAGTCTAGGATAATTTTGCCCAGATTTTGGGATGTCTGTCTCTCAGGTTTTTGTGGGTTTTTGTAGATTAAAAGTTTCTCTTGGTGTTTGCAACATTAACTTACACACTGGGGGGAAAAGACTGGAGAAAAAGCCATTTAACTAAACATTTAATTGTTAAGAAGTGCAATTTCAACAGTACGTCTCAGTTTTTCTACATGAAATATTAAAGAAAAAGTTCTAGTAGCTCATCATCCAGACCATCTGGTGTGTGTCTTGTATTGTTTAACTATATTATATGTTGGAATTAGTCGGACCTGCCTTGCAAGACTGCAGTTGGTCCCGAATGCTGCAGCTCGCCTTCTGATGCAAACTAAAAGATGTGAACGTATTTCCCGGTGCTTGCCTCTTTCCACTGGCTCTCTTTTCACTTCAGAACTGATTTTAAAATGTTATTGTTGATTATAAAGCCCTGAATGGACAGGCTCCTGGGTATTTGTCTGACCTCTTGCAGCCTTATGCGCCCTCTAGATGTCTTAGAACAAATGATCTTTTGCTTTTAGCCATACCAAGGTCTAGGCTGGTTCACAGAGGCGTTTGGGGTCGTAGCACCTAAACTGTGGAATAATCTACCCCAACACATCAGACAGGCTCCTACTGTCAATCAATTTAAATCTCATCTAAAAATACATTTGTATTCACTGGCTTTTAATACAGTATGAGAGGTAATTGGTGCTTGGTGCTAATAATAAAAGTTACTTGGTACTAGTTATTTTGTTTTTCTGTACAGCACTTTGGTCAGCGTTGCTGTTGTCATTAAATGTGCTATATATAAAAAAAAAAAAAAAACTACTTTGGTGTAGTATGAATGGCAGTGGGGGAGGTCTTTCTCCATGGGGAAAGCTGTAAAACGTGACAGTACAGTTAAATGATCAAAATCTATGAACTCCTTCACATTTTGCAAAGCCTTCCAGCGGGCCTGATTGGAATCTTTGTCAGGCTGATTCTGGCCCCTGGGCCATATGTTTGACACACTGCTCCACTTGCACCCAACAGATGGTAGAATCTTGCAGGATCTGTGTGTAAGCGCCAGACTGGAAAAAAACAATTTCCATTCGCCTTCATTGTAATGGGTAGACACACATATATGTCAAAACCTCACAAAACATGAGGATGTATTGTTGTATGAAGGCAGCGATTGTGTAACCATTATAACTGTATTTTGTTTTTCCAGGTTTGTTGACGTCCTGAAGCTGCTTCATGTTGTGAGTACTTCCACATGTCACCTTTTAAACAAAAGCAGCCACTGTGTTTGCCATAAAAAGAGCTTTAGGTATATATTTGAGCCGGTGCTGGTCTAGTGTCGGAGCCCACATTCTCCATATGTGTTTGATTTGATCCTCATAGAAGGGCAGAATAGACTTTTCTCCGTCCTTCTGGCAATAAAAGGTTCTTATTGTAACACTACACTTGCTCTGAATGATACACAGTTGCGTTGTTTTAACCTCAAACGGTTCACGCTGTCAGAAAAATGATCTGATTCCTATGCTGTACTTCCCCTGCAATGTTTGCTATGCGACAAGAAGGGAAGAACAATATTTTTTATGTGTCGTCCAACCAGTCTAACCAACTCTTTGCCAACCCACTCTTAGCTCGGTGAAGTAAAGCACTCCCTATCTCTACGAGAATCTCCACATCTGTTTCTGTTTGTTTGTTGAGTTGCTTTTTCTTGAAAGTTCATCATATCTGCTCAGGAAGAGGAGATGTGATAAATTCAGGAATTGTAGTGTCAAGTGTGAGGAAATTTGATCAGGGCTGGTACGTAAGACGTAGTAGCCTTGAGTGATAAGCGACGACTCCCGTCTATGACTGTATAGCATACACGGGAAGCGCTCGAGTCTCTGTGGATTGCACAGTTGTGAAGAACAGATCAGATGAAGTTCAAAGCAATGTTGAAGTGGCTTTCTGTTTTACCCAGCTCTGTCCGATACTCAAACAGGCATCAGCACTCACCACAGCATGTGTATTCTATCTGATTGATCTGGTAATGCATATTCTTAGACACTCTCGTTCTCGGGATCTAAATACAGACAATAAAAGCTACTTTAATTTAGCTGCTTTGTTTGTCTAACCCATGTGTTATAATGGAAACAAGATAACCAAACTGGCCTTTTGCTCAAAACC